TCCTGCTATCAAAAGTTCTTGATTAGGCATTGTATATTATGTGGTGACAACTGTCTCTCAACTATGCCCTCAGATTGTCACTCTATCACATGCACCCCTGGTGGAGACTACAAGCAGCCATGCTGACATTGGCATAGTCCAACATTGTCACCATTAAGAAGCTGGTCCAGACTCATGACATCCAGCCAACATTGAAGCCAGTCCATGTAGATAGGAAGTTGCTGATGTCTATGGAACCAGGGGCAATCCTCCTGAGCTCTTCCCTCTGATGCATGTCACTCAAATACAGAGCGTATTTCTGGAGTAAAGAAAGCTGTTTGTGGATAATGATCAGTACCGAACTCAGCTTGTCATGCATGCTCCTGTCAGAATGGCATTAGATGACAATGTCCAAGTGCTCCAATATACAGAACAAGGGTAATTGCCAGCCAGTTTCATGTGCATGGTGCATGTCTAGTTACGGGACTATGTTGTCCCAGCCTTGGCACCAGACAGCCCATTTCAGAAGAGAGCTGAGCCAGGAAGTTACTGGATACCCTTCAACCAGAACCCACATCTGTTCTCTGATATGCTTATAATTTGTTTATTTGGCCTACCCTGGATTCTGCTCTGATTTCCTGTTGTTACCCAGCTTGATCCTGACCCCCCCCCTTCCTCCAGCTCATTGCTGACTCTTATACATGATTCCCCTGACATTTTGGTGTGATCTTGGCCTGTCACTTCAACACAATTCTGCTGACTTCCTGGTCTGACCTTGGGGTGAATTTGGACCATGACTCCACTTTCTGCCCTGCCTGCAGTCTGCCACCTTGGTTGCTAACTCTACCCCTAAGTGATCTTCTTATCAGGCTACATGACACCTGGGGCACGCTGTGCCCTCTCATCTCCTGTTCTCCATTCCAGAGGTGTTTGGACTGGAGCTATAAGGGATGCCCTCTTGTCATCTTAGCCTCTAACCAGGTATGTGATAACTTCCACTGTTGGCTCTCAGGCTGCCTATCAGGACTAGAAGGGGTCATGCAGACCTGATAAGCAGTCAAATGACCAACTGTTGGAGCACACATGGCAGGCCTCTAATTGCTTAGCAGGGGCTTTGCATCATAAGCCTGCAACAGGAAGTGCTGGTATTGGTAGAACCTCCAGGCAAGAAACTTTAGAAAAGGTTCACAAAAACCATTTGCTTAACCTGTTTGCACCGACAGTACGCATATATGTGGCCTCTTGGAGGATGGGCCTTAATGCCAAGAGGCTGCATATATGCATACCAGAATGTAAACACAGCTGTTCTAAAAGTGTGTTCCCTCTGCGCTTCTGGAACAGTTACTGGCGGCTAATGTGGATGAGAGCTTTCTGATCATGTGACCGCTGGGACAGCCAATCACAGCAGTCACATTAGCAGAAACCCTGCCCCACCTCCAGGCATCAGAAACCCTATAAAAGGCTGGGATGTGCCAGCTTTGAGGTGTTAAGAAAATTGTATACAGTGAGGTAGGATGTACAGATGTTGGTAATGTGTTTACTCACACTTTAGGGGACTACTTCATTCTCTATGTGTCCTAATAAATACCTATACAGTGGGGATCGAAAGTTTGGGCACCCCAGCTAAAAATTTGTATTAATGTGCATAAAGAAGCCAAGGAAAGATGGAAAAATCTCCAAAAGGCATCAAATTACAGATTAGACATTCTTATAACATGTCAACAAAAGTTAGGTTTTATTTCCATCATTTACACTTTCAAAATAACAGAAAACAACAAATGGCGTCTGCAAAAGTTTGGGCACCCTGCAGAGTTAATATCCTGTACTGCCCCCTTTGGCAAGTATCACAGCTTGTAAACGCTTTTTGTAGCCAGCCAAGAGTCTTTCAATTCCTGTTTGAGGTATCTTTGCCCATTCTTCCTTACAAAAGTCTTCCAGTTCTTTGAGATTTCTGGGCTGTCTGTCACGCACTGCTCTTTTAAGGTCTATCCATAGATTTTCAATTATGTTGAGGTCAGGAGATTGTGAAGGCCATGGCAAAACCTTCAGTTTACGCCTCTTGATGTAATCCCCCATGGATTTCGAGGTGTGTTTAGGATCATTATCCATTTGTAGAAGCCATCCTCTCTTTAACTTCAGCTTTTTCACAGATGGCATCAAGTTACCATCCAAAATTTGCTGAAATTTTATTGAATCCATTTTTCCTTCTACTCGTGAGATGTTCCCTGTGCCACTGGCTGCAACACAACCCCAAAGCATGATTGATCCAACCCCATGCTTAACAGTTGGACAGAGGTTCTTTTCATTAAATTCTGTGCCCCTTCTTCTCCAAACGTACCTTTGTTCATTCCGGCCAAAAAGTTCAATTTTAACCTCATGGTGGTTAAAATGGTAACTTGATGCCATCTGTGAAAAAGCTGAAGTTAAAGAGAGGATGGCTTCTACAAATGGATAATGATCCTAAACACACCTCGAAATCCACGGGGGATTACATCAAGAGGCATAAACTGAAGGTTTTGCCATGGCCTTCACAATCTCCTGACCTCAACATAATTGAAAATCTATGGATAGACCTTAAAAGAGCAGTGCGTGACAGACAGCCCAGAAATCTCAAAGAACTGGAAGACTTTTGTAAGGAAGAATGGGCAAAGATACCTCAAACAGGAATTGAAAGACTCTTGGCTGGCTACAAAAAGCGTTTACAAGCTGTGATACTTGCCAAAGGGGGCAGTACAAGATATTAACTCTGCAGGGTGCCCAAACTTTTGCAGACGCCATTTTTTTGTTTTCTGTTATTTTGAAAGTGTAAATGATGGAAATAAAATCTAACTTTTGTTGACATATTATAAGAATGTCTAATCTGTAATTAGATGCCTTTTGAAAATTTTTCCATCTTTCCTTGGCTTCTTTATGCACATTAATACAAATTTTTAGCTGGGGTGCCCAAACTTTCGATCCCCACTGTAGGTGTTAGACTTACTCATCCTTTTGCATGCCAGCTCTTAACATGAAACTCAAATCCCTCTTGTATTGAACTGTATTGTTGCTGTATTGTCTCCTGTAATATTGTAAAGTGCTGAGAAAACTGTTGGCGCTATATAAATCCTGTATATAATAATAATAATAATAACATGAGGAAATAAGATATTATCTCTTCAACAGAGACACAAGCAGCAACTTTTTTGGTAGAGTGGAAAAAAATGGAAACATTAAGAACCTGCTATTCTGCAAAAGCGACCAGAGCATAGAAATAATTTAGCCCTCCTACCTGCTATCATGATTTATCATTAGTTTTTTTAAATAAATACATCAACGACATCAACATATCTTTCATGAACATGGCTATATTTTTGTATTTTCATCAATTAGCATGAATTAATTTTTTCTAATGTATTCCTAGAAATAATGAATTCCACTAACCAGCACAAAGTCCTAGAGTTCACTCTGTTGGGATTGACCAGTTTCTCCAAGCTCAGCATAGCCGTATTTCTTCTCCTTCTCATTATCTACATTCTTACGTTGCTTGCAAACCTGTTGATCATAGTGGCAGTCCATTTTGAAGTACGTCTCCATTCAGCCATGTACTATTTTCTAAGCAGGTTATCCCTTGTAGACTTGTGCTATGCTACAGTGACCATCCCCAAAATTTTAGTTGACTTCCTTACCAAAACCAACATAATTTCTTCTAATTCCTGCATCACCCAGCTGTTCTTCTTGCATTTCTTTGCAGGAACAGAGTGCATTCTCCTAACTGTCATGGCTTATGACCGCTACATCGCTATCTGCCACCCCTTACACTATTCCAGTATTATGAACAAGACTGTCTGTCATTGGCTTGAGTTTGTTTGTTGGGCTACCAGTTTTTTACATTCCATAGTTCAGATCATCATTACATGTCAAATGAAGTTTTGTGGACCAAACCAAATAGACCATTTCTTCTGTGACATCCACCCTTTGTCCGTGCTGGCCTGTTCAGATATTGTCATCATTGAAATAGTATTTGTGGCCAACAGTGGGCTGATTGCTGTAATATGCTTCCTTGTGGTACTTATGTCTTATGTGGGCATCATTAACACCATACTTAAAGCCCGATCTGAAGAGGGCCTAGAAAAAGCCTTTTCGACTTGTGCCTCACACCTCACCACTGTCACCCTTTTCTCTTTGGGTCTAGTGTCTTCATATATTTAAGACCCTCCGTATCATATGGAGCAGATAAAATAGTGTCAATATTCTATACAATGATAAAACCCCTACTGAACCCAATAATTTACACATTAAGAAATAAAGAGGTAAAGACCGCCATCAAATCAATTTTGACCAAGAAGTTACTACGAAAAAAACAATAGATGAAACGTTGATATTATATGCTATTTACCAGAGATAAATATGAATATATATCTAGAGATATACTGCATAACAGAAGTCTAGTATTGTATTCTTTTTGTCCCCATGGTTATGTGCTATACCTTAAAAAACATACCGTATTTTGCGCTCCATAAGACACACCTGACCATAAAACGCACCTAGGTTTTAGAGGTGAAAAACAAGAAAAAAAATATTCTGAACCAATGGACTGCAGACACAGTACAGGAGATGACCAGAGACTGCGGACACAGTACAAGAGATGACCAGAGACTGTGGACACAGTACAGGAGATGACCAGAGACTGCAGACATAGTACAGGGAATGACCAGGGACTGCAGACACAGTACAGGAGATGACCAGAGACTGCGGACACAGTACAGGAGATGACCAGAGACTGCGGACACAGTACAGGAGATGACCAGAGACTGCGGACACAGTACAGGGGATGACCAGAGACTGCGGACACAGTACAGGAGATGACCAGAGACTGCGGACACAGTACAGGGGATGACCAGAGACTGCGGACACAGTACAGGAGATGACCAGAGACTGCGGACACAGTACAGGGGATGACCAGAGACTGCGGACACAGTACAGGGGATGACCAGAGACTGCGGACACAGTACAGGGGATGACCAGAGACTGCGGACACAGTACAGGGGATGACCAGAGACTGCGGACAGTACAGGGGATGACCAGAGACTACAGTACAAGGGATGACCAGAGACTGCAGACATAGTACAGGAGATCACCAGAGTCTGCGGACATAGTACAGATGACCAGAGACTGTGAACATAGTACAGTACAGGGAAAATGCCAGGGACTGCAGACATAGTACAGTTGACCAAAGACTGCAGACAGTACAGGGGATGACCAAGAGACTGTGGACCTTTGGGGAGGGAGGGAGAGCGGGTACCTGAAGTTGTCCTTTCTTTAGTGTGTGCACGCTGGCTTCTTCCCGCACCGGCTTCTGTGACAGCCGGGTGTTCACTGCGCATGCACGAGAAGTGCTGCGCTTTGTGAATGGCCCGGCACCTTCTGGGACTTGTCAAGTGTCCCAGAAGTCGCCGGACCATTCACAAACCACAGCGCTTCTCGCTCATGCGCAGTAGGTACCCAGCTGTCACAGAAGCCGGCGCGGGAAGACTACAGCGCTGGACAGAGGAATAGGTAGGGTCCTGCAGGAGAGAAGAGCTGAGCGGCCAGCCCGGTATTCTGACATGGTGGCCGCGGCGGAAATACCGGACCGGCCGCTCCATATTCGCTTCATAAGGCGCATTGACATTCCCCCCCCTTTTTTTGGGGGAAAAAAGTGCGTCTTATGGAGCGAAAAATACGGTACCTTAAAAAACATATGTAAAACCTAATAAAGCTTTTTAGAAAACCTATCATTTGTTCATGTTTTTATTTCCTTCATAAAAAAAAATAACAAAATACAAATAACCTTCAATCCTTACTGTGTCTTCAATTTTTGTGCTAAACAAGACAACTGCAATAACTGCATATGATTGCTGTATACTATCTGCAAAGTATTACTCTTAAACTTATAATAAGATGTATTTAAACAATGCTCTGTCTTCTATACAAATAAGCAAATATAAATTAACCTTCAATCCATACTGTGTCTTCAATTCCTGTGCAAAACCATACAGCTGTGTAAAACTACACAACCGTGTAAAAGATAAATGCTAAAAATGCACTCACAGAGAGAGCATATGCGCGGGCGGCCGGAATGGATGCAGTTCTGACCGCTTCGCACATTCGCGGTGCCTTAGGGGGATAATCTGCTGCTCCCGACCCCGTTCCTCCCTGCAACCCTGCAATCAGGCCTGCTTGTGGAGGGGGTTGGGGACCTCTGATGCTCATCCAACTAGCTGGGAGATATGCGGGTGGCTCCCGTGCTACCACAATGAAGAAGGAAGGGGGACGGCAAGATGGCGGCCGCCACAGGGCCCAGCTCCCCTCCTCCAGTCCTGGGACGCATAGTGATGGATCCCCTGGCTCTATGGCTCACGTGAGTGTTCACTCCGCTCCTTCTGGGTCTCTCTCTAGCCCCACCAGGTCTCCTCTTCAGGCTGCTGCCCTGTCCCCAGGCCACAATTCCCAGGCTTCCTCCCAGCTAGACAGGGAAATGGCTGACATATTCACCAGCCAAATCAGCGGCCAGGATTCAGCTCCTGCAGGTTCAGTGGACTCTCCTGCTTATGCAACTGTGCCCCCCGTACTACTCAGGGGACTCCGTCCTTATTGCTCGTTTTGCTGACTTACTTCATAGGGAATTGTTAAAAGCTACCAATAAATTAGCTTCTGACTTTAAAACAGGATTTCAGGGAGATCGGAAACCGCCTGGAGAACATTGAAACTAAAGTTGATGATACAGTTCACAGAGTGTCTCAGAATTCCAACAGGATTGCCGATCTACAAGATCGCCTAGATGAAGCTTATGCGAAAACAGATGATCTTGAGAACCGCGCCCATCGGTACAACTTCTGGATTAGAGGCATGCTGGAAACGGTCAAAGATATTGCTTCAGTTGCTCACTCTCTTATACTATAAGCAGTGGCGGATACCAACGACATCCACACGGAGATAGACCTTATCCACAGAGCTCTGGTCCCCTTAAAACCAGGTGGGTCCCCTTGGGATGTAATCGTTAAACCCCATTTTTTCAGAATCAAGGAGGAGGTGATGCGATATGCCAGGGAACATCCTAACTTGGAAATCGAAGGGTACAAGATTCAAGTCTTTGCACACATTTCTCAAGCTACTATACAAAAACGAAGGGCGTTCAAACCGTTGCTTTCGCCTTTAATTCAAAGGGACATCCGATATAGATGGAACTATCCATTTTACTTACAATTTGCTTATAATGGCAAATCCTATGCCTTTACTACATTCTCTGAAAGAGAGAAAATTTTGATGAATTTGGGCTTTATTTCTCTTAGCCCCTCCTCACAGTTCCCTTCTAAAGCTGACGGTCCTCCTCCCCCACTTTCGCCTATGTGGTCTCCATCTCCCAAGAAAAAGAAACCTGCTATTCCACATCAGGTTCCCTAAAGACTCTGCTGGTTACCGGCTGATCTTATATAGAGCGGGGACCTCTCCTTGGTCCTGTTGTGGGACATTGGCCCCTGCCTTTGTTACTTGAATTGTTGCGTAGGTTTTGTTCTCTAGTCATATCAATCTTTAACTGTTTATGGGTTAGATTATTTACATGTCAGATACTCTAGTTTCGAGTGTTAGGAGCCTTTAACATACATGTTTTTTACAGACCCCATAGCGCCAGGAAGAGTCTATGCGCTCTTCCTAATTGAAAAGACTCTCCCCATTGCCTTGCGTTGGCAAAGACTATTCCATTCCTTGAATTCGTGTCTGGGATATTTGGTACTTTACTGTTTTATGCTGCATATTGTTGTTATGCTACTTGGTTTGATACTACCCATTTTCTGGGCTCAGTGTCTTTTGTCTTCTTTTTTCTTTTCTTTTTTTTTTCTCCTCTTTTTTTTTCACTGTTTTTATTTGAGGGACATCTTGGGATTTTCTCTTTTGAACTGGATACTTGGCATCCACCCAGGTGGGTATGTGGGTCTCACCAACGCTATGTTGATTTTTTTTCAATGTCCACCTTAAGACCTAATAGTAACGTTGTTCACTTTCTCTCTCATAATGTGCAAGGATTAGGGTCCCCCGCTAAGCGTGTTAAGGTTTTTTCTCGTTAAAAATCCCTAGGAGCTGATATTGTTGCACTACAGGAAACCCATTTTCCTTCCTCTTTTACGCCTGGGTATATTCATAATGCTTTCTCACTAATGCATCGGAAAAAAAACAAGCTCACAATCATTATTCACGTATCGGTCACATTTTTCTCCCTATGGAGCTGCTACCCAAATTAAATTCGGCTAAAATTGTGTCGACGCCCTGGCCAGACCATGACTCGGTGATAATAATGCTCTCTAATTTAGCTACCAACGTGGCTAAGCCACATTGGCGATTGAAAGAATCCTTTCTTAGCAATGAGCCAATCCGCCTCAAAGTAATAGAACACTTGAACTTCTGTTTTACCATTAATAAAGCAGAAGATACGACCCCTGCTATTAACTGGCAGCTCATAAAGCCTCTATCAGAGGTTTTCTCATCCAACTATACTCTAGGCTTAAACGATCTCAAGTAGAGTTGACTTCTGCCAAAACTAAGGAATATGAGGATTACTAGCCCAACACAAAATGGCCCCATCCCCAGATCTATTGCTTAAGGTGAAGCAAGCTCGTTTAGAACTCAATCTTTGTCTTACCACAAAAGTGGAAAAACAGCTATGATGGATATCTTGAGAACCGTGCCCATCGGTACAATTTCCAGATTAGAGGCCTGCTGGAAACAGTCAAAGATATTGCTTCAGTTGCTCACTCTCTTATACTATAAACAGTGGCTGATACCAACGACATCCACACGGAGATAGACCTTATCCACAGATCTTGATGATCTTGAGAACCGCGCCCATCGGTACAACTTCCGGATTAGAGGCCTGCTGGAAACGGTCAAAGATATTGCTTCAGTTGCTCACTCTCTTATACTACAAGCAGTGGCGGATACCAACGACATCCACACGGAGATAGACCTTATCCACAGAGCAAAACGCAAAAACTCTCCCCTAGGCACACCTACTGGGCCCTTCCTAAGCTTAGGCTCTCAGGAGGTCATATCTCACAGGATCCTCAGAAGATCCTTCAGGAATTCAATAACTTCTATGCTACCTTATACGGTAAACCCCGGCCCATTGAGCCTTCTCTGCTTCAGGACTTTTTGGGACCCCTACGGCTTCCAGTCCTTACTGAGGCCCACAAGGAACTTATGAAACAACCTATCACTAGTGAGGAGCTTGGTAAAGTTATTAAAATGCTAAAGTCACATAAATCCCCGGGCCCGACGGTTTATCAAATTTTTATTATAAAACATTTTCTGAACTCTTTGAGGGATGATGGTGTGATTCCTTTAGACGAAAACAAAGCATATATTAGCATTATCCCAAAGCCTAATAAAGATGTTACCGATATCCTTAATTATCAACCTATTCTGCTAATTAATTGCAACCTGAAAATCCTGACAAAACTCCTGGCCCTGCGTTTTAATTCCTTTTTGGCACAATATATTCACAAAGACCTTTTCATATCTGGTCTCCAAACGCTGGATCAGATTTGTAGGTCCATAACTTTGATTTCCGCTGTCCGCTCTAATTGGGAGGCTCCTATTTCTTGGGAGTTGTTGCTTCTTTCTCTGGACCTCCATAAAGCCTTTAATAGCTTAACCTGGGAACATTTGTTTACTATTTTGAAAGCTTATGGATTTGGTCCTGCATTTCTTATACTACTACAATCAATATACAATGCTCCCTCAGCTCAAGTGTCCATTTGAGGTTACAGATCACCCATGTTCCCAATTCGACGCGGCACTAGATGAGGTTGTCCACTATCCCCACTACTTTTTGCAATGGCAGTAGAACCCTTAGTCATGGCAATCTGCTCCCATCCTGGAATCCATGGGGTTCACTGTGGTCATCAGGAACATAAATGCACTTTCTTTGCTGACGACGTCCTTATGTATGTTACCTCCCCTTTGACCACCATACCTAATCTATTATCTCTGTGGAGCCATTTTTCTAAACTTCCTGGCCTCTCTTTAAACTCTCAGAAAATGATAGCCCTTAACGTTTTGTTACCCTCTGCCATGGAACAACAACTTAAGACTATGTATGACTTTCAATGGGCCTGCAGTTCTTTGCCTTATTTCGGGATTAATTTGACAGCTCAATTGAGTCCATTTACCAAGCGAACTATTCCCCTCTTTCCAAACACCTTTAGGAGGATCTTCGTCATTGGGCTGCTTACTCTATATCTTGGTTTGGCAGGAACAACTCTATTAAAATGTTTTTGCCTCGGTTATATTCTTTTAGAACCTTACCAATACCAATTCCGAGACGTGAGTTGCAACACCTACAGGCTGAGGTGCTTCATTTTGTTTCGAGCAATAGAAGGCCTCGG